ATAAAGTGATAAATAACAACATGTGGCTGTTCTTTAGTCTGTTTATGCAATATTATGTGCCATTTAATAGACTGACTTCTAGAGATCCTGTGATCGAGGGATCTGAACCTGACCTCTATCTTGTGACATTCTTATCTATGATGTACACAAGCCCATTATTACAGTCACTGTGCCAGTCCATTGTTGAGTGTCTTCCTCTCTTTTACTGACCTCCACCTTTTCCAGCATGAGGACTTTCTAAGGACTGGCCCCTCCTTACAGCATGCACAAAGTATGTGAGGTGAAGTTTTGCCATCTTTGCACTTTCTCCAAGACATTTTTGTTTTTTTGACAGTCCATGGAATATTCATACTCTTCTCCAGTACCACAACTCAAGAGCATCGATTCTTCTTTCATCCTTCTTCATTGTACAGCTTTCAGATGGCATATCAATTGAAAAGACCATGGCTTGATACAGGTACAGTTTAGTCTTTAAACTGGCATCCTTGCTCTTAGCACTTTGGAGAGGTCCTTGGCATTAGATGCTCCCAGTAAAAGAAGTCTTTTTTGATTTCTTGGTTTCTGCTATCAAAGGTGTTGATTGTGAATCCAAGCAAAATTAAACCATTACGTTTAATCTTTTTTCCATCTATCTTGGTGTTGCCTTTGGACCTAGTGGTGAGTGGTTTTATTTTCTTGATGTTGTGGTGTAATTCATATTGAAGGCTATATAGTCTTTGATTTTCTGCAGCAGTATTTTAAGTCCTTTCAGCAAAGTTGTGCCATCTGCATAATGTGGATTGTTGATGAGCCACCTTCAGATCTTGATGCCACATTCTTCTTGATCAAGTCCAGCTTCTCAAATGATTTGCTCCGTGCTTAGATTGAATAAGAATGGAGAAAGAATACAGCCCTGACACATATTTTTCTTGATTTTAAACCCTGCAGTACTGTCTTGGTCTATGTTAGGTTTTTGTATGCACACAGTTAAATGTTTGGTGATTCCTATTCTCCTCATGTTAAGCATATTTGTTGTGATCCACATAGCTAGATGCCTTTGCATAGTCAACAAAACACAAACATCCTCTGGTATTCTCTGCTTTGAGCCAGGATCCATCGGACATTAGCAGTGATATTTCTGGTCTCTTCTAAATTGAGCTTGAATTTCTGACAATTCTCAGTTAAAGTACTGTTGTAGCTATTTTTTTAATAATCTTTACAAGATTTTACTTGCAAGTAATACTAATGATTGTTATTGTTGTTAACAACCTATTATGGAAGTGGATGCGACTCCTCCTTCCAAGCTTGTTTTAATCGGGACGCTTCACCCCTCTCTGTCTACATTGGGTAGACATTCATTAACGCATTTGACACATCAGTGTCAACGGTGTTCAGCCTCACAGCAACCAAAAGTGAACGTGGTGTGGCAACTTGTACACCAGGTTGGTAATTTCTATATTCTGTTGGATTACCTCTTTTGCAAGGGGGTACAAATATTTCTCCAGGTAGCCAGGTGGCCATCGTCTAAATTTCATCTCGATTTCTTAGCACAGCCTGGTTAGCACATCTAGAGCTATATCTATTTCTATTTTATATGACTAGATCACTTGGTATTCCATCAGTTCCTAGGCCCTTACTTTTTACCAATGCTATCTGCAGCTTGAACTTTTTCCTTTATTATTATTAGTTCTTGATCTTATGCTACTTCTTGAAATGGTTCCATATCAGCCAGGTTTTTTTGGTACATTGACCATGTATTCCTTTCATCATTTGATGCTTCCTGCATCATTCAAGATTTTGCCCATAGCATCCGTTCGTATTGGAATTCAAACCCTGAATTTGTTCTTCAGTTCTCTCTGCTTGAGAATTGGCGGGTTAGCTCTTACCTTTTAATTTTCAGACGCCACCTCTTTGCACATTTCATTGTAATCCTTTATTTGTCTTCTCAGGCTGCCCTTTAAATCTGTGTTATGGAATCAGTTGGTAACAGGGTTCTATCGCTGAGTCTTGGCCAAAATCAAGGCTCAGGACCTTCATGGCAAGAAAGAGGAGCTGTTGAAACAGCTGGATGACCTGAAGGTGGAGCTTTCCCAGCTGAATGTCACCAGAGTGACCAGTGGTGTGACTTCCAAGCTTTCCAAAATCTGAATTGTCCAGAAATCCATTGCCTGTGTTTTCACTGTTACCAACCGGACTAAGCAGGAGAACCTCAGAAGGTACTGTACGGGCAAGAAGTACAAACCTCTGGATCTATGTGCCATGCACCAAAGGCTCAGCTGCTTGAGGAGAAGCTAAAGACCAAGAGGGAGCAGCAAAGAGAGTACCTGTACCCACTGAGGAAATATGCAGTCAATGCCTGAACATCTTACATTAACTAAAACACAAAACTTAAAAAAAAAAATTCCCAAACATTTCCGTTTAACTTTTTTTTTTTTACACCATAGGCCTTATATATTTATTGAAAATGTGGGTGCATAAAAACCAAGTGTGTTCCATGGGTAGTGATCAGATTGTAACATAATCTTAACCCAATATGGCCAGTCAACTTGACATAATGTGGTGCTAATGAATGAAGGATCATTATGTGCGCTGCCATCATGTGTGTGACTCCTTAAAGACTCAGCTTCGTTCTGCAATGTCTTCTTTTGGATTTGTACCTGATTTTATTGCCAGTTTTCATTCTAATCCACTGAGGAATGGGCCAGTTCTGCTTTTGTTTCTTGGCCAGGAATCTCTTGATCCTGAAAGTCTTGTAACAAGACAAAATGGAGCCACACGAAAAACTATGGCATTGGAAATCTGTTCAACACTTATGTCGCCATTTCTTCCTTTTCTTTTGGCTTTTTGACATTCTGGTGTAATTCTCAGAGTCTCTTCTAACATCTGTTTTGGTTTTTTTTTCTTTGTAATGTATGACCTTTTGGTGTCATACTATAGCTCATCTCCTCTTTGTTCATTTGTGTTCAGTTCCTCAAACCTACTCTCGACATGGTTTTTAAATTCAAGCGCTTCTTGTCTTGTTTTCATTTTCTTCAGTTTCAGTTTGAATTTGTAAATGGCATAATTGATGATCTGTTCCTTAGCACCTGACTGACTTTTGACTGCTGAGTGTTGAGCTTCTCTAATGATTCTTTCCACAAATGGTAGTCAGTCTGATTACAATGTAATTCATCAGGTGAGGTCTGTGGGTATAATCATTTGTGGTTTTTTTTAAATAAGGTATTTGCAATGAATAAATCATTGCATAATCAAGTCATTCAGGCTCTTGGTTCATTTCTGCCACCAAGCCTGTAATTTCCAACCACCAGCCCTCCATTATTTCCTAGTTTTGCATTCCAGTCACCTGTTGTTATTATTGATTCTTAATTGCATGTTCGATTGATTTCCAACTGCAGAAGTTGGTGGAAATCCTCATACGCTTTGCACAAAGTTGTCATTTTGGGGTTTGCATACAATTGAAAGGATTCTCTTTAGGGAAATAAGTGAGCTAATATTTTTTGAACTGTCACCATAAGCTAGGCACATAGCTCATTCACTCACACCACATCAGTAGGAGTTAAGTTGATCCAGCATTTTGCAGATGTAGTGACAGCAGCTCTAATGGGAGCATCTCATGATGGCTCTGTTAATTGAGATTAATGTCCTTGTATGATGAACTTAGTCTTTGAATCTTAGTTTACTCATCGGTAAAATGAGACTACTTTGAGCTATCTTAGTGTTACAGGAGTTATGGGAAGTAAATTAGTGTGGTGGACAGCTTGCTCAGATTAGAGAGTAAATACTAGTTTAGAGGATTCAGAAAAATTATGAAGAACTTTTATATATGTTATTATGTACTGCAAGAAAGTGGGTTTTCAGAGACAGTAAATTACATGGGAGGAGATTGCCCATCTTCTGCGGAGCATCTGGTGGGTTTGAACTGTGTACCTTTTGTATTGGCATGGCAGTGCAATTCTTTGCCAGTAAGCTACCGGAGCTGTTTATATATATAGAAGGATTATAAATACTAGTTAAGAGATTCAGAATTTATACAGTGAAGGATATATATAAAAACTCTAGGTATGGTTATAATTACTAGTTAAGAGATTTTAAAAGATAATAAAGAATTTGCCTCAAGGTCACAGTGTAGAAGTGATAAAATTTTATTACCTGGCCAGGGAAATCTGATTTATTTATTTTTTTTTTACATTTTTATTATTTTAGTGTGTGTGTATGTGTACCATCAAATTGGGTCTGACTGGTACAGGAGGAGATTGTCTCTCCTTCTCCAGCAGAGCATCTGGTGGATTTGAACTTTTCACCTCTGGGATTGCAGTGCAGCTTCTTGCCACTAGGCCACCAAAGCTCACCGAGAAATCTGATTTATTTAATGCTGATCCTAGAAAAGACATCTAAAAGAACAAACTAATATATCCTGGAGAGGGTGCAGCTGGAGTGCTCTTTGGAGGCCAGAATGAGGAGGCATCACCTCACTTACTTTGGGCATGTTGCTAAGAGGAGCTGCTCCTTTTAGAGGGACATGATGTTTGAAAAGGTGGAGGGTCAGCAAAGGACAGGAAGATTCTCGACCAGGTGAACTGACACGGTGACTGCTGCAAGGGGCTGTAGTGTGAGAGGAAGTGTGAAGATGGCACAGGATAGGACAGAATTCAGATCTTTTGTTCATAGGGTCACTGTGAGTTGTACTTAACTCAATGGCACTTAACAGCAACAAAAAGAAGACCCCATTTCTGCATACTCAAATCTAAGATATTTGAAAATTTCTTGAAAAAGATGGGGTGGGTAGTAGGTCTCAGAATGAATATAACCGGTTTAGTACGATCTCGGTTTAGAAATAAGCCCATAACATTTTTATTCATTTAAAAACTTGTGGAGTTAAGTTTTACGATTACCTGCAAATAGGTATGAGGTATTTTTAAGTCAAGTAGTTCAGAAATTTTGTTCAGAAAGATTATGAAAAATATTCTGTTAACTAAGGTGGAGAATTGAACTGACATTTACAATTTTGTTTGCTTTGATAGGACCTAAGGAAAGCTGGACTGCTGATTTTTGCTAATAAACAAGATGTTAAAGAGTGCATGACTGTAGCAGAAATCTCCCAGTTTTTAAAACTCACGTCTATTAAAGATCATCAGTGGCATATCCAGGCCTGCTGTGCTCTTACTGGCGAAGGGTAAGCATTCTTCTTTTAGATGCCATGTAGTTAGTTTAAAAACAAATATTTCTTTCTAAATAAATTTTAAAGCCTGCCACATACAAAGAATTCTAAGAAAGAAACATAACCCCTATCTACCATCAGAGCTTTTAGTATAGTTCTACAAAATATAAAACATGGACATAATACACAGAAAACATCCATGAATTAACGGGGGGGGGGGTACACACACAGAGTGAAATAGAATTACAGTTGACATCTGGAGATAGTAACAGGAAACACTTCTTCAGAAGATTGTATAACTTACACTGTGAAGGCCTTTGAGTGGAGAATGAGAAGTATTTAAATCTACAGTAGAAATTCCAGTTATAGTTGAAAATTAACAGAGATTCGCTCTAATAAGGTATTGAAAGGTGAAAGGCTTTCAAAAAGAAAATAGCGGTCATCTTTAAATGTAAGATCAAGGACTAATAGGATAGAATACTATTGAATTTGACCATAAGTTGGTAAATTCAGTCAGTCAGATTAGAAGCAAATTTTGTGTGTTGGGAAAGTGGACATCGTTACACACAGTTTAAAGAGGAGTAACTTTTGGAAACTAATTTTGGCTAGAAGGGAAACAAAGTGAGAAATAATATGGAGGAGATTGAAATAAGTTAAAAGGTAGAGAAAGCTGAGTAAATTGAGGCAGTTCTTTTTTTAAAAATCGAGAAAATGAGAACTGAGATACAAATGGAAATTTGTACACCAATGTTCATAGCATTGTTATTAACCATTGCCAGAACGTGGAAACAGCCCAATGTCCAACCACAACTGAATGCATTAAGAAATTGTGGTACATTCACACAATGGAATATTATACAACACTCGGGAACAGTGATTTCAAAAATTACTTATTAACTTGAGAGGGACTAGAGAGCATTCATTATATGCTGAGTGAACTCAGTCTCATAAGAACAAATATTGCATAAGGCCATTATTGTAGAAATGGAAAGATAAGTAGTTAAATGTATATGAGGATCCAACAGGGAAACAGAGGTGGGAAGCAGAAGGGTGAGGATGGGAATGGGGGAAATCATAGGTTTGCACAATTTGGTGGGTGGAGGCAGGAGGCGTAAAAATGGAAAAGATCCAGCAGGGATCTTGAAAGACAGCATAATGGTGAGCATAATTCAGTGGTGATTCATTTTACAAAACATAACAAATGGGAATGATTGTATGTAACAATGTGAATGAAACTGAAGCACAGTGTGTATCCAAACTTGTAAGGAAACCAATAAAAAAATTTTTTTAAACCCCAAAATTGGCTGTATATGCATTTAGAAACACTGAGAAAAAAATTAACTAAAAGCTGAATTATTCTAAATGTTGTTACATGCTGTCAAATCACCTGTCACTCAAAGTGACCCTAAATATAACAGCTCTGAAGCCTGAATAATCCTCAGCAGGATTTTGCTTTTGTGTGATGTTAGTGGTATTGGTCGATAATTTCCACACTGTCAGGTCACCTTTTTATTTTGGAATGGGAATAAATATGGATCTCTACCAGACACTTGGCAGGTAGTTGTCCTCCAGATTTCTCCGCCATTGTAGCATCTGTTGAAATATGGCATTTGGTATACCATCAATTCCTGGGACCCTATATTTTGCCAAGTCCTTCAGAACAGCCTGAACTTCCCCCTTCACCATTGCCTCTGGATCACATCCCATTTTTGAAACTTCTTTGACAGCCAGTTCTAAATAGAGGTTCAAATTTAGTTTGGTGTACTTTTCAGTTAGGAAAGATTGGAAGTTTATCATCTTGAGTCTGACCAGTAGATCTGAATTCTTAGTTTTAGAGATCTGAATTCTTCCTCTGCATTTTGGTTTAGTGGATTGTAGATCACAAACTTTGTAATTAGAGCAAATTTTGACTCACTTGTACTAATTGTTAGGGAGCTCTGCTGGAATAGGAAATTCCATAGAGAATTGTGCTGCTAACCCAAAGGCAGTGTCTTTGCTGTTAAGATGCAGCAGCAGTTCCTCAGATGAAGAAAGATGAACCATTTCCTGTGCGATGCACTTGGAGGATCAGATGTGTGGGTCATCTCTAACTTCATTGCAGTGTTTGATAGTTTCTAAGCCTGAATTTCCTCTGTAATATGGGAATGCTTTCAATCTCAGTGCCATGACGGTTCATTGATTACCATACGTAGAATTCTTTGGTATATTTTCCAGCTTTGCTGGTGAAATGTAAAAGACATTTATACTTAATTTCCCTGGTTGTGTGTGTGTTTGCATTTTACAGCATCAGAATCATGCTTACACGAAATTCTGAAATTTTTTATTTTTTTAACAGTGTAACAGTTTTAACAGCTCTAAGAAGCTCAATTTAGATTCTGGTTAGTGCTGTATATAAATACTTCATTTTGTTCTCTTGAAATAGCTACAACACTTTGTTTACTAAACATTTTGTTTTTTTTTTTTACCTCAGTGAGCATCCCTTTTGTATTTTAAATTATAATCAGTTAACTTATTGTATAGTGATAACTGGCTATTATTAGTATGAGGTATTTTATTTCCTTCTATTTTTTATGTATAGATGTAACGTGCATGTTATATGTATACCATATTTTAACAACTCTACAGTATATTGAGTTTGCTATCTTGTCTTTATTCTTTTTTTTTGTTTTTTTCCAGTTTTTATTGTATTTTTATGTGTACCGTCAAATCAGATCTGACCAGTACAGGAGGAGATTGCCCCCTCCTTCTCTAGCAGAGCATCTGGTGGATTTGAACCGTGTACCTCTGGGATTGCAGTGCAGTGTCTTGCCACTAGGCCACCAGGGCTCCCTTATTCTTAATTTCTATCATAAAAGTCTTGAAAAAATTTTTAATAGTTTATCTTAAGAATTTTTGTAATTTAACGTCTTCTCCCCTTCTGGACATTTTTCTGTTTTATAGACATTTAAATATTTTCTTCATGATATCAGTACTCCCCTTTATTAAGTTTGTAGGGGATATTTTAATAAATATTCTGTGTATTTAATAAATACACATCTGTGTACATTCGTGATTTTTTTTTATTAGAATACATTTTCAAAAGTGGAAAAATTTTGTATTTCCAAGTTGCTTTAGTGTCACTCACTATATAATTACTGACCTCCTTTTATATGGCAGGAAGTATATTAGGCACCAGAGACATAGCAGAGAACCAGACACACTAGTGGTGTGGGTATGCATGAGAATGATACATGATTTCACAAAAACAGCATAAACATTGAACTTGACTAATTTCTAAATTTTTTTTAATGTTTAAGTAAGTGTAACACTAGATCCTTTTTTAATTTGCTTTTCGCACATTTTCAATAAGAAGTCATAGGAGTATAGATGGTTGTCTGCTGAAAAGATTGCAGTCCTGAAAACCCTATGAGACAGTATTACTTAAGATCACTGTGAGGCTGAATTAACTTGGGCTTAGGTTTGAGGTTTGTTATGTTTTCTTTTTACCTCATTTTTGCTTGTGTAGTTTTGCTTTTTCCATTCAGAATTTAATTGAAGGATTTTTTTTTTTAATTATTGTTTTTATAGATTGTGCCAAGGACTTGAGTGGATGATGTCACGACTTAAGATTAGATGATTTCTACTGACCTCTTCTCATAGACTTTGTATAAATGGAGTGCTGGACTTTACCAGAAAGCTGCAAAAATTAATGGTTTAGATATATTTATAATAAACTGATTTAAACTTTTTCTATAAGAAGAAAAATTAAGACCACTTATTTGAAAA